AAACAGTGTTGGAAATCACCAGTTCACTGGCACCTCATGGAAGAAGGGTCCAAGTTTTGAAATGTCTTTTACAGTCATTGGAGGGAGAAGGAAATCCAGGGAATGATTCTTTGCTCCCCATCAGCTCYATTGGCACTTTCTCCTGCCCCAGTCAGGAGTGCTCATAAACAGGCTGCCCAGCAGTGTGCTTAGTGCCCAGCAGGAGCAGAGCCCCTTCTCAGAGGGTGTTTCTCTTCATGCATGAATCTGCCTTTTACATCTCACCTCATCCCATCCCTCTCCATCTCCCCTCACAAAAGATCCTCACAGATCTTGTAGCTGAGCATCACTGTAAGGCTGGCTGCCCTGTCTGAAAGTGGGATTCTCCCTGTGCTGTTCCACCAGTTCTGGRCCGCCAGCTTGCCATCTTGGCATGRATGCCTGAGCGGGTTTTTTGTTTTTAAAAGAGATTCTTTGAATTCAAAACATAGCAAATTCCTGGCAGAGGCAGCTGATGGATTATGCTCTGTGAGGGCTCTGTGCCTGGGATTTGCTCTTCTGTGGTCCTTCCCTGACCTTGCAGCAACAGTGCCAAAAACCTCTGTTGTGGGTTACAAATAAAAAATACATAAATAGAACGAACCAAGTTGCTGGGGTCAAAAAAGGGACAAAYGCTTCTGATGCCAACTCACATGTGTGGCCTGAAGACAAACTGTCTGTCCTACAAGCCTGCTACACCCTGGAAATGGGGCTGGTCAGGAGGAGAGAGCATAACTGTATGCTTCTGTGTTCTCTAGAGCAGCACGTCTAGTGATGCACCAGCTACATTACACATTTGCATGCTGGTAGACCACCACAACCCAACTGCTTCCTCCATTTGGAGGCTTCCCACTTAAACCATTCTGGTTTCCCTCCTATATTTTTATTTTATCTCTGATTTCCCACAAATAAGCCATGAGGGAGTTCTTGTGCCACTCTCCTTCCCCTGAACAAAACTGCTTTTGCAGAACATTTTCACTTAGGCAGTAAAGTGCTTGTTTGAGGTCTGTGTGGGTGACTAAAAGCCATTTGCTTTCCAGTGTCGGTCCGTCTCCATATTTGTATTTATCTTGACTGTTCTAGAGAAACAGGGTAAAATACATTTTGACTTGAGAGCCATCTTGACATAAGTGAATTTTGTGCCTGTTTCTTCCAGGGCTGTTTGCACTTATCCCAGGGTTAAGGGAGTRGAAATAAAGATGTAAAGTCCTGAGCTATCACAATCCTGTTTGGGGGAACTGGCTGCCTCCAAAGTACACTGCCTGGTGTTGAAAGCATCTCATTTTTAATTACCACTAATGCTGCTGTTKCGGTGGCACTTAGCACTGGATTACTCAAAAGCCTGGCTGTCTCAGGAACACCAGTGTTATCCATAGGCAATGCAGGGAGTACTCAGGTTTTGCCAAGCCTCATCCAACTATGCAGCRGCAAGAAGAAACCCTTCTGTGTTCTGTTTGCTTCATGTGCAGCTAACTCTTCAATCCTTGGTTTTATCCATGATTTCTTGTCTGTTCTCCACCTTCATCTCTCTTGTGTCCTGACGAAGGAAGTGCTGTGATGAAATGTTAACGCTCAGGTTCCAGCTGTGAGCAGCAGCGCTCACATCCTGCTGTGTAATGTTTCTCATCATGGGTTGCAATGCCCCGTGGCTGGGGCAGRCTGCCTTCCCTTCCCTCCCCATCCAGCTTCTCTGCAGGCATTGCCACAGCTCTGGCACTGGGCTGGGGGGAGCTGTGCTAGGCATAGCTCCTGCCTTCCCTCCCTCCCAGCACTGAATACCTGGTGCTCTATCTCTGATGCCCTTTATTGGCTCCAGCTTTGTTTACTTAAATAATTCTCTCAATGCCTTATCAGATTAGCGTGATTTCAAAGTGTTAAGAGCATCAGTGCCTCAAAGAGTTTTGCAGTAGCTTGCCTTGGCCTCAGATTAGATGAAGACATAATAATTATACAAAGTAGARTATAGAATAATAGAAAACTGTTTTGATAGAGATGGTTTTTTTTTTCCTTACTGGATTAATTGTAGAAGCATGGGGACCTGTTGGAAAGGAGCRGGGTTTTCTCATGTAGTCACTTGAAACCTATCTATGGCTTTGGTATTTGACTGTTTTATGGGTTCATATTCAGGAACAGTGGAGAAAGCCCCCATGTCCCATAGCAAATGCCACAAGTGCTTCCCCAGGTCATGGGAAGAGAAAGGGATTCCTGTTTTCCCCTGTGGTTGGGGAACAAGGTCCATCTGAGCAATGTCTCATTTCTCCTGGATAATTAGGGATGYGATTTGTGTAAAGAAGGGCTGTGAAAGAGGTTACACTGGAGCCAGCCACAGTTGTCCCTACTTCTCTCTCTTCCTCCTWCTCTGAGAGCAACAGTAAGGCATGCTGCATGTATGTGAGCTCTATGTCAGCACACAGAAAATAACGAGATCTTCTGGTTCCTAATAGAGGCAGGAATAATCATACCAGTATCTTCATAACACTCCAAATGACAAAGGTATGTGTGCTGCTGAAGACGATGGTTGTAGACAGCCACCCGGGCTCTGCAAGGAAGCTCACTCCTCTGAAGGGGTTGGTCCTGAGCCTGGTCACAGACCTTGACACAGCCCTAACCAAGCTTATGCCTGCCTTAAGTGATTTCCTTGTGGCCAGTCTGAACCTTGTCCCCTCATACCTCACACAAGAAGCATCTGTTTACAGAGTTCTTTTGTCTTGCTTGGAGTGCTGGGTTTAGCAGAAAACAGGCTTATAGTATAATTAGGGATATATCTTTACTTCTAGACCGAAAAGGTGTTCTCTGCTTTCCATGTTCAGGCCATATACCCTTTCMCAGGCTGTAGTCTCAGCCCCTCCAGCTCGCTCTGTCCCCCATTTGCCTGGTTGCAAAAGCATCTGACAGCCAAGTTCACACTGGCTCAGCCAGTTCCAGCTGTTGACTTTTCTGTCCAGAAARATTTACTTTTATTCTTAATTTGCCCTAACCCTTCCCTCACTATCTCCTTTAAAATTCCCARCCTCTTCCCCCCTCCTCTGCGCCCCTGCTTGTTGAATAATTTSAAGGTGCTAATTGCCCCGAACTGCAGCTGATCCATTGATCTGGAACACAAACAGTCTCAAAGTAATTTTCTGTCTGAGCCAGTCTGGGGCTTGCGCAGGTGCTGATGCTTGTTTCCTTGTTTTTTTTTAATTTCCTACAAAGAAAAGCCTTTGTGTTGCTCTTGACAAGATGCCTGYGCTTCTGCCTCAGCCAGTGGCTGCTCTGTAAAGCCACGTGGGGCTTGAGGAAAATTGACACTAACAGTACCCGATTCTGTGTAATTGAAGTCTGTGGGTGGAAACTGATAATCCTGCTCAGTCATATTGTGTCCCTCTATCAAAWCTGTTTGCCTAGTCCTTGAAGTATCAGGTGGCTTTGCCCATCTTTAGTCCTGCATGTGACACAGACTGGAAGCAACTCAGGCTCTTTGTCCAGTCACAAAAATGCTTGTTCTGCTAGATAAATACTTGGAGGCAGAGGTTGCTGGGGTTGCACATCTCTGAGAATTTAGACATCCCTGTCTGTAACAGCTGAGCACAAAATCCAGCACTGGGTCAGTACTGGCAAGTGCATCCTGCACAGCAGAGAGTTAATTTTCCAATGGCTATTGCTTCCAGCAGCCTCAGCAGAAGCTGTGCCTTTGCAGGGTTTGATCCGAGGGGCGGGGGTGTGGGATGATGTAATGTTACCAACTCTCTGCGCTGGTGGGAGGAGATGAGGTAAAAAATAAACTCATCTGCATTCCTTTCTCTCCCCAGCTTGTATGCACTGGTTTGATTTACCTGGAGGATTTACTTTTGTATTTTTAAATAAAATCAGTGGTTGTTTTTCTTACTATGGTAAGGCTGGTGTGGCAGCCCTGGTGGAGAGTAGGATGGGGCCAAAGGGAACAATCCAGCCTGGTGCTGGCAGGGCTGGACACTGCGTACACCCCTCCAGGGCAGGGGCGGAATGAGCTTTGCAGTCCCATTTCTTGAGGCAATTTTGACTGCAGGTGGTGTGTATGTATAAGCAGAAATGAGTAGCAGTTGTCTACCCCTGAATCATAAATTCAAAATTGAATGTATCTCCCTCCAGAAAAGGAGCCCCTAGACAGAGTCAGATAAGTTGCCTGTGCCTCAGACCCTTTTGGATGAAACGCTGCAGCCTGGCAGAGTCAGGAGGGAAGGACAGCTCTAAAATAGTGTGTAACTAGGTGGTGGGGTGGGAGGGGAGAGGGGTCATTGACATTATTTGCGGTCCTTGCCTCTTTCCAGGCTAGCCGGTAGATCCTGTCCCTCTGGCAGAGCTTTTGCTTTGGTGRGAGGGGCAGGCTGCACTCCTCTAGCATCTCTCACACCAAGCCTTTGAAGGGGTGYTGGCTGGAGTGACTCAGCCATTGCTTTAAGGACTTCATCTGTAGAAAAGGAAGATCTGCCTGAGTGAGTGTGTGCATCCCTTACACCCGTATATTTGGCTTTTCAGAAATGGCAGCTTGATGACACGTCTGGAATAATTTGGCACCTCCCAGCCAAGGAAAGATTTTCCCAGTTCAAACACRGTATTGAATATCCTCTCTGTCCATCCACAAATTTACAGGTAGAGTAGGAAAAGGAGTAGAAAGACATCTCACAAATTGGAAACTGAGCTACTGTGAATCCTTTTCCCAGCATCACCCCATGTCACCTGTGTGACACTGTCAGGGGATGGGAGCACATCAGAGCTCAGCTGGAAGCTGGGAAGGGTCTTGGTTTTTTATGATGATGGGCTCAGATGACAARAGGACAACAGGTGTAATTCTTGTGGTGGGGATGGGTTGGATGCCAGCACTCCAGGCTTCTCTCTGATTTGTCCACAGACATGCAAATATGTCTGCACTGTCCTGAAAATCCCTTTTAAACAGGTGTCATTATTTGGGTGATGCTATGTATCCATTCTGTAGTCTCAGAGAAAATGGGAACGCCGCAAAAATGGACCTGTGTGTTCCTCTGTCATTGGATACTACTGGAACTGCCTCTGGTCTGACTTGGTGTGTGCTGTACATCCAGGACATCTCCAGGAGGGAAGTCTTCTCCACATCCTTTAACTGGAACAAGGGCAGCAGACATTCAGCAAAACAGCTTCAAAAGCTGGAGATCTTGATGTTTTCATRTAAAGGTAATAATGTTAAAAATGGSATTTCTTATTAGCTTCATTGTCTGAGGCCTGCCCGTGGTTCTGGACATGACCCAGGATGTACACGGGACTGTCACTGCGGAGCATGGAACTGTAGCAGCACTTCCAGGAGCAACAGTCTTGTGTTCCCACCCAGAATGCAGGATCACCCAGCTTTTCTGCTTGCCACAGCTTTCATGTCAGGCCCAGGTGAAGGACCACAGTCTGGAAGGCTTCCATAAGGCCAGAAAATTATAATAGCAGCAAAATCCCTGCAAAAGCCTATGCATACACACACCAGATACTAAATGCTTGATCCGGGAAAGGGAAAGGAACAGGCACATGAATTCTTGTGGGTCTTCAGAGACTTGTACTGGGTGCCTCTGGTGAAGCAGCTTCAGCTGCAGCAGGTCTGGTGGATGTGCAGAAGAACATGCCACTGCTTGGGTATGTGGTTTATGCAGGACAGGCAGAGACTGCAGGTGGTGTTTCTGGCCTCTGCCTGTAGCAGTGCAGCACTTGRTGGTTGTTGAGTTCAGCTCTTTGTCGAGTCAGCACAGGGATGCTAATTCTTTGCTTGAAGGTGAGGAAGCTGAGGTTTGGAGGAATATATGCTGATTTTAAAGGAAATATATTGTGTTTCACATGGCTGAATTTCTCTCTCCTGCAAGGGAATCTTGCATTTCAAACACATTCTTTTCCCCTTGGGAAATTGTGGCTTTTCTTTAATCCAGCTTCTGTCCCAGTGAAGACCAAAGGAGTCACTGGTTTTGGATTCAGGCTGGAGCCTAATGGAGAGAGRAAAAGCAGCTGCTTGGATTTCTGCATCCATTGCTGGTTTTCCCACTTCAGAGGGAGAGGCATGGACACCCCTCATCTCCCTGTCACAGGCACTGCTAGGGATGGCTCTGAGGTGCCACCCTGTTGCAGGCTTTGGGAAAACAGCATGAAATGGAAATAGCACCCAAGTAAAGCAGAGCTGCTTCCTTTAAGTACACAAGGGTGCCTGGCCARATCACACCTCCTTAACTTAATTTTGGAGCTGTTACTGTAACACCAACCACAATGCTCTGTGAAGACAATTTTTCACATGCTTAGTGCAAGAGAGAAGGATTTTGGCAACCAAATATTTAATGTGAGAGGGAAACACAGTTATGGGAGAGAATGTGATATGCTCAAGGTCACCACACAAGCTAGTGACAGAGTAAGGCACGTAAGTCCTCTTGTGGAGCCAGACCACTGCATCCATTTGCAGCCATTGTCACTGCCCCAATGCTCCTGCACATGGATTGTCTCTGTCTGGCAGGGACAAGGCACCTATGAAACAGCCTGCAGCTCTACTTAAACATCAAGCCAGAAGCTGACTGGGCAAGGAGTATAAAAAAAGTCTGGGAGAGAGAAAGGCTGCACAGAAATGGTATATTTCTGAATGCAGCACATTTCTTGCCTCTTCTACTTACCGTCAGCAAGAGCAACAGAGAGTATTAATGTGGCTTTTGCTGCTTTTTGCATTCACAACAGGGTCCCACAATAATACTCACTCTATTTTAGCTCTTCTCCAGAACTGAGCTTTTCCGTTTCCTCTACTTGCCTGAACAGATTACATTAAGTAAAAGTCACTGCTTTGTCCAGTCCCAGTGTTGTGCCAGGCGTATATGATTGCTGGAACTAGCCCAAATTCCTGTCTGCACTTTAACTGGGTAGCGGATGGAAATGAGCAGGGGACTCCAGAGGTGTAAATAGATCAGTCAGCCACATGGCGTCATCTCTGCTCTGTACAAATATAGCTGAGGACATGCGGAGCAGAAAAAAATAGTTTTAATTAGCACATGCTCCTTCCGCAGCTCTGGAACTAGCATAAATACATTCTCACTTCTACTGCTTCTAGCAGACTAGCAACTAAACTTTCTAGGACAGTGCCACACCTCTCGTTCCTCAAAATCCTCAAAGTCTGTGTGTCCATGCCAGCAGAGGTGAGGATCCTTGTAGGATCTACTGAGAAAGTGGTGCCTGTCTTCCCACATAGGTTAAAAAAAAGCAACACAATGCTGTCCTTCTCCATCATCTCAGGACATGGACGTCGTGCCTGGGATTTTTTGTGATTGTACCATTAGTGGTGAAAATACAGACTTCTCCGTCTTTGAACATGACACCTCTAGCGCTGTCAGAATTTCCTATCTCATGCAGATATGTGGGCAGATGTATAACAGTGGAGAAGCTTCACARCAGTGTAGTCTCCCTTCCCTAAAATTGTTTATAAAGGCCTTGCTTGGGAGCTGCTGGATCATAGTGCCTGCAGAAATAGTTGTGGTCTGGGGGATAGTGATGGGACAGTTTAGGAAAAGTAGGTACTTTACGTAAAAAGTTTCCATCTGTTTCAGAATATTCACTTGCCTCTGTAGATTGTTTGCAGGGACACTGAAGCTTCAGTGAAGATGGCTGATTTGATACAGTATCTGCTGTAGCTCCTGAGGTGGCTGTAAATAYCCAGTATTAAATCCCTTGAAGTGGKTAGGAGTAATTTCTCTGTCTTTGAAAACAGGGCTTGAAAAAATGCCCCAGGTGACCTCAGTGCTCTTAGAAGCAGATTTTTGAGTCTACTAATTTTTATGAAGTAAAGGTGGGATGAATGTGTTTATCATTTTCCTCCAGTAATGGGCTTAGAGGACTCCCCTGTTCCATTAAATGGACATAGGACACAGAGTCAGTCATATGTGTAATTCCCTATGTGTGTAATTTGTCCTATTCATGTGAATAATTGAAAATTCGAACTGATTRTTATACTGGGTAGAGCTTGAATTGAATTGTCAGGACATGAGAAAATTGCACAGGGTACATTGACCCATTCTAGAATAAGTTGCCTTTAGAGTTAATTACTCCATAAATTGARAGAAAATCTGTARCAGCAAGCAAGGACTAGTACAAGATAAATGTCATCCAAGAAGTGAGGGAAGATACACTGCTCAAAGCTGCCTTTGGAATGCCTCTGGAAGGTGTGGGTTTGGGCAGAGCTGGTTCATACTGGATCCTCTGGGACAGCTGCTTAGGGCTCTGGGATTGGGACTTTGACAGGCTCCGGGTACTTGTGTTTCCGTAGAGTGCATTCTTGTTTGCTTACTTCTTGTTCTTGTTTTCTTTCTTTTCCTCTGTCTGTCTGTCTTTTATGGTCTTGATAGTGGAAATTGAGAGACCTTKGTTTTTCAAACCTACCTGATTATCCCTGGAATAGCACTAGCACAACAGCAACAGAGTCCTCCCTCACTGACAAAGCAAAGATGCTCAAAGAGGCCAGAACAAAACTTCCCAGTCSCTCCCATTCTATTCTGTCTTTAGATATTTAAATCTTTGTGCAGAAATTTTCCATGCTGCTTTGCATTAGCTGTGAAATACTTCAGCTGTGAGATGTATATAAACCGCAGCTGAATAGGTCAGCTGGTTCTCAAGAGCAAGATTTAGAAGAAATGGGGGTTTGTACTCACTTTATGGGTAGGAAACTGAGGCACAAAAACATTGAGGTCWGATATATAAAATGTCAAGCTGTTACTTCCTCACTGCAGTGTGTGAGTGTATGAACCTAACAAYGTTCTTTAGACAGTTGTGTGAGTGGGATAATACCTAAATAGGAAAATGARATGACAGGTTTCACAGCTTCCCTGTTGAGGATATTTGGAATAAAAAATCCCTCTTAGTTTTGCGTGCTGTTAGGAGAAAGTGTCAGAAACACAGATGCACACAGAGGCAGCAAGGTTCCTTGGCTGTGGATCCAGTCCTGAAGAGGTGCCCAGGCAGATTCCCAGGTGCATCAGGAGCACAAAGAACAATAAAAGACACAGAAATTGAAGTTTGAATCCAGTAGTTTTTATAAAATAAAGGTGAGATAAATGTTTGTGTTTCCCACCAGTAAAGGGCCTAGAGGACTCCCTTGTCTTCTGTCCCTGTTGCTGTGACCCTGTGGTCACATTTGCTGGTAGCACTTGGTATCTGATGTGGAGCTTCAGAAATCCTGCCATGCACTGGATGTCTTGCTGCCACCTCATGCATCTGAGCCTGAGCTTGAGCAGGGTGCTGGAGGCGCTGCACTCCTCCTGTCTCAAGTCATGTTTGCAGGGCTGATTTCTGTTCCTGCCTCTGGCACAGCACCTCTGGTTACCCAGAGRGGTGATGGATGCCYCATCCCTGGACACATTCRAGGTTAGGTTGGGCRGGGCATGGAGCAAACTGCTCTAGTTGAAGACATTCCTACCCATTGCAGGAAGGTTGCACTAGATGGCCTGTAAAGGTCCCTTCCCATCCAAACCATTCTCTGATTCTCCAATCACCTCCAGTATTGTCCTTCACAGAGGTTGACAGCCAACCAAACCGTTAACATAAATGCAAAAAAATTGCAAAACCTGCTTGGTTATGAGTGTGCTGACCTTTCCTCAGGATGAGCTCGAGCTTGTTGGCATGTGAGATGATTTCAGCTGAGTTGGAGCTGTGGGCTTTTCTTCCTCCTCTTGTGCACATAAGCATTAACTTTCTGGACCTAATCATGTACCCCAGCGCAAAGCTGAGTGACGAGCTTTCATCTTGCTTGGCTATTGGGCTTAGATAAGTCCCTTGGTGTGGGAGTGCTCTGTGGCACTCAGATCAAACTCACACCAAGTACTTTCTGCCTGGCAGCCACCTCTCTTTGTGCTGCAAACTGCCCATGGCATCTTGCTTAGAATTTATGTGGCRGCAAAAATCTTTGCTCACAGTTACTAAATATGAAGCTGGCAGCCTGTTTTGATGCCAAAAGAAAGGCTGTTTGCATCCTCTGAAAAGTTATGATTTGCAGTGGAACATCCCCAGGATGCTAYGGCTGTCCTGGTGGGGTCCTGTGGAGCAAGCACAGTGCTGGATTGCTGGTTCGTCCATGCAGCAGAGCAAAGCAAGGAATGTGGCGTTCTGCAGGAAAAACTTCTGTGCTACCAGAGTAGCAAGGACCAGAACACACAAAGCTGGCCATCAGATTAGCTTCA